TAAGGTTGTGATGTAAAAGCCTTAGGCCTTTTCACACAGATCCTATAAGTCTTTTATCCATTGTTCAATTACAGTCAAGCTCCTGAAGAGTATAAATGTGCAGTTAGACAATTTAGTTCTTAATTCTGAGACATGCACAGGAATATTTATCTACAAATTATATTCATATGCTTGGGGGAGGAGGATATTTATCCCAGGCTTATTTCTTATCTTGATTATCTTATAAAATGATTTGCCTTTTGTGTCTATTGTTAGTACTTTTGTATCACTTCAGCTTATCATAGTTATCTTCTTCCATTTCTCTTTTCTGCTAAGGATCGAATATTTATAGACTCGGTGCATTCATATATAGTCCCTTTATCAAAGGTAAGTTTTTCTCCCTGTTATGTTTAGCCAGTTCATTACTACCTACTATCCAATTAATTATTCCTCATTCTTTAGGTTTTAGTTTGTTACCTCCTAGTGGTGTTTCTCTCCTTTTATTTCTTTATTTAAGAAGCTCCCTGAACCCATACCTTGCTTTCTTTATCACTTCACAGTGTGTATTTCTTCATGGTATTTATTATAATGTGCAATTATCTTGTTTATTTCATTGCCTTTTTATGTCTCTACCTATTTGAACATAAAAGCCAGGTAGGCACATGAGATATCTGTTTCACCCGAGTACAAGGCCCAATGCCTGATATACAGTAGTTTCAACAAACATTTGTCAAATGAGTGATGTCTTATGTGAGTTGGAGTGGAATTTTGTAGTCTTCTTGAGGGATGTGTGTGTGTGTGTGTGTGTGTGTGTGTGTGTTAAATTTTGATTGCCAATTATAATCTTTTTTTTAGGATTATTTCCTTAATTGATGACTACTAATTCAGACACGGATAGTTTACATCAGCTTCCTGACTCAAACCTATTAAATGAACCAGATTTTGTAAAGTATTTGAACCTGGGAGCCTTATCTTATTTGGACCTTGATGTTCTAGAGTTTTCTGGACCACAATGTACTGTCTTTCATAGCTTGTGCTTTATAATAGCTTCTGGCCTCCGGTGGTTGTTGAGCTATTGAAATGTGGCTAGTGTGAAGTGTCATGTATTGTAAGAACAAAAAACACACCAGATTCAGAAAACTTAGTATAAGACTATAAATAGAGCATTAATAATTATGTTATTTACTCATTAAAATGATAATCATTTGGATATGTTGAGCAAAAATCAGACATTAAATTAATTTTTTCTTTAAACTTTTAAAATACACTATTAGAACATTTAAAATTATCTAACACATATTTAATTTGTGGCTCAGATTGCATTTCCATTGGGAATTTCTAGACCCATGTAGCTCACTCCAGTTGTTTGACAATGAAGCCTGACAGGGATCCACTGAGGGGGATTATGTTGTTGCATAAGCCTCTCATAGTCTGCTCCTCTCTTGTTAGATGTTGAATTAGTTTTTTGATTTCTGGGACAAAATACTTGAGAAAAACAACTTCAAGGAGGAAAGATTCACTTTGACACATGTTTCAGAAGTTTCAGTGCATGGTCAGCTGGCTTCATTCCTTTGGACCTGAGGCAAGGCAGAATATCACGGCTGAAGGGGATGGCAGATGAAAACTGCTCACCTCATGGCAGCCAGGAAGCTAGAGGTGGAGAGGAAGAGGCCAAAGATATAGCCTTCCAGGCCATGCCCCATGATGCACTTTCTCAAATTAGGCCTTACCTCCTACAGTTTTCATCACCTCCCATTAATGCTATCGAATTATTCAATGTATTAATCCACTACTGAGGTCAGAGCCCTCATGAATAAATCACTTCCCCCAAACCCCATCATTTGAACATCACTGCATTGGGGACCAAGCCTTAAACACATGAACCTTTGATGAACATTTCAGATTTAAATTATAACAGATGTGTACTAGAAGGAGGACTGGAATCCTGGATAATGGCTTATGAGGTACTCCAGCACTACCTGAATGTCAAATCCTGAGCTCAGGTACGTTTGTATCTCAAGACACAGAAAGTTTAACTGTCTTATCAGTGCTACAAAACAATAGAGGGATTAGAACACAGGTATTTTGATTAAATTACTTCTAGGGGGACCTCTCAATAAAAGAATATCTTCCTTTTTAACTTAGGTACTAGAAAAATTGAAAGAATTATTAATAAGTTATGTAGGTTTTCTAAAAAATCAGTTAATGAGGAAATTATACCTTAGTTTTTAGATGGTTAAGTAAAAGAAAAATCAAAATGTATACTGTAGTAAATTAAACAAACAGAAACTAATTCTGTAATTATTGCTATAAATGCTATAGTAAAGCATTAAACTGAAATGAACTTTACTTATCATAGGAGCATACATTGCAAAGCAAAATTTAAACAAAAAGTCAAATATGAACATGAAATCTACTTGTAAGTAAATGCAAGTTTAATAACCATTCTTTACATAGCTATAAAACCTGCTTGGAGACCACGAATTGCAGTTTGGAAAACTGGTTGCTATAAGTTATTCCTAAAGCACTCATTATTGGCATATGAGGCAGACTTCTCTTGAGGTAAGGAAACGAAGTTTTAAATAATTGGCTTCATCATCATGACCTTCTGGTTCATTCATCAGTTTGGCAAATATTTAGTGAGAAGCTACCATGATCCAGGTGCTCAATATAGTACAGTGACCAAGGCTGAAAAAGATTTTTGCTCCTTTGAAATTTACATTTCAGTGCCTAAGTATTGTTATGATCTGTATAAAGTTTGTCCCCAAAGGCTCATGCACTGGAAGCTTGATCCTCAGTGAGGTGATGGTGGAAACTTTTAAGAGGTAGTGCCTAGTCAAATTAATTAGTTCATTGGGATTCTACCCTCATGAAGGGATTAAAACTTTCTTGAAAGTGGGATGGGTTGCATGTGATTGGATTAGTTCCTACAAGAGTGGGTTGTTATAGAAGAGTCAGTTTAATCTCTTGCTTCCTATTCTGTTATATGCACTCCCTCTCTCTATTCCTTATTGTCTCAAATATGATACCATTTCCATGTTCTGATGTAGCCAGAAGGCCTTCACCAGGGGACAAAATGATGATGATGCCTGATCTTGAACTTTTAGTCTTCAAAACTATGAGCTAAATAAGTATCCTTTCTTTATATATTATCCACTGTCAGTTATTTTGTTATAGTAACACAAAACAGACTAAGACAAGTATTCCAACAACAGTATGAAATGAAATGGTACACTAAATCTAAGAAGAGGTATCCTGGAATGCCAGGAGTAACATTTTTTTGTTACTTGGGAATTAAAAGTGAATTTAGGATGGTCTATTTGTCTTTTTTTTCTTTCTAATTTTTTTTGTCTTTGTTGGGAAACTTGAAAATAGAGGTGCATAAGCATTAGATGTCTACTCTATTAATCTATTAACAAGATTCAAATAAAATAATTAGACTGTGTTAAGTGATTTCCAAATAATTTAGGGAAATGCAGTTCTTTCTTCTACATGGACATCTCAACCTTATAACTAATCAGAAGTCTCAGTTCTTACCTATCAATTCTAGGAAACCCCAGTCAGAAGGATTTCCCTTCTTACCCAACACAGATGCACTTTTTTGCATTCTCATTCTCTCACAGTCACATGTTGTGCCCCTTTGACATATTCTCTCCCTTACACATCTTTATGTTCCTACATTCTTCATAGGTTCCCCAATCCTAGATCCCAAGAAGAGATTTCTTATTGTTTGGTTCTTAAAGTTCAACCAGTAGATGTCTCCATTACTCTCCCAAAGCTGAGACCAGCCTCAGCAAGTAGGTTTTAATCATTTCTTTAACCGACAACAAGGAAGAAGATTTGATAATTTGCCTAAAAATGAGCAGATTCTCAGGAGGACACATCTCCATCCTACGTTCCTCCCTCCCAGTTTCAGTCAAAAATGAAAACTACTCTCCCTCTTTTCCAGGCAAAAGAAAAGACTGATTTAACTAAGAATTCAAGACACTAACACCCTCCTCCTCATTATGTCCAAGTTTCCTTCGCTCTGAGCCACCCAAAGCTTGCTTCTCCCTCACTCCCGCCCACCCTTCCTTATCCCACCCCTGCGGGTTTCCGAGTCATCGGTGTACGCGAGTGGCGAGTGGGTGAAAGGACTCTGCGCGGCTGCCTCCCGCGCCGCCGCCTGCTCCTCCGCCTCCTCTGTGCCGCCTCGGATTCAGCACTGGACAGCTCCCGCCCTAGCCCAACAAATGGCAGTCAGCTGATTGACAGCAGAGCCGACCAAACAGGGAGCACGACGGCTTGAAGCCGCCCTCCAAGGGTTTGGTTGCGGCCAAGCTGCCTCTTTAAACTGGCTTTCCTCCCGAGAGCAGGGAGAGGCGGCAGTGTGGTTTGTGGCCAAACCTAAAGGCTCCAATTAACCAGCTGCCTGGTCCCTCCCGACTCCAGAGAAACAGACGTCTTAAAAGAAATCTCCGCTCCTTGGGACTCTCTCCTACGCTCGCCGTGCAGTTCTGGGTGCGCGCTCCCTGCCTCGGGGCGAGGGGCTCGGGAGGAGCCAGAGCAGGGAGGCGGGAACGACCTGCCACGGGTGAGATGATGGAGCAGCGTCTTCGGCGGCCGCGGTGGCAGCAGCAGCAACAGCAGCAGCAGCAGCAACAGCAGCAGCTCTTGAACACACCTCAATGAGAGCGGCGGTGGCAGAGGCTGAGCAGAAAGACGTAAGCAGGCTAACTATAGCTGCCGGGAGCGCGAGGGGATGTAACCTGGTCTGCTCCAGGCTGCAAGGTGCGTAATTCCGAGCCGACCCAGTGTGGAGCGGGTGCAGCCAGCATTGCCACAGGTGATTTGATTTCCTGTAACCGCAGTTTAGCCAGCTGGGCCAATTTCGAAACATTTTTATTTGAAAGTCTTTTTGGACTGGGAGCCGTCTGGAGAAGAGGGAAGACCCCCTAGTAAAAGTCTTACTGTTGATAAATTGACGATCGAAATTCAAAAAGTGACTCCTCCTGTTACCTCCTTTCCTCTCTGCGAGACAGATGGGAGCCATGGCTCACCCCTTACTCCTCTGCCTCCTGCTCGCTCATCTGGGACTGGGAGCTGTTGGCGCCAGCCGCGACCCTCTGGGACGGCTGGATTCCCCTCGAGAGAAGACCCTGAGGGGGAAACAGCACGCGCAGCAGCTGGCTCGAGCTTCTGCCTCGGACCCCTCGGCTCCCTGGAGCCGCTCCACCGACGGCACCATCTTGGCGCAGAAACTCGCCGAGGAGGTGCCCCTGGACGTGGCCTCTTACCTCTACACCGGGGACTCCCACCAGCTGAAGCGAGCCAACTGCTCCGGCCGCTACGAGTTGGCAGGCCTGCCGGGGAAGTCGCCAGCCCTAGCTAGTTCCCATCCCTCCTTGCACGGGGCGCTGGACACGCTGACACACGCCACCAACTTCCTCAACATGATGCTGCAGAGCAATAAGTCTCGGGAGCAGAACTTGCAGGATGACCTGGAGTGGTACCAGGCGCTGGTACGGAGCCTCTTGGAGGGCGAGCCCAGCATCTTTCGGGCGGCCATCACCTTCACCACCGAGTCTCTGACCGCGCCGGCCCCGCAAGTCTTCCTCCAGGCCACTCGTGAAGAGAGTCGCATCCTGCTCCAGGACCTGTCCTCTTCTGCACACCACCTGGCCAACGCCACTCTGGAAACCGAGTGGTTCCACGGCCTCCGGCGCAAGTGGAGGCCCCATTTACACCGCCGCGGTTCCAATCAGGGGCCCCGGGGCCTGGGCCATAGCTGGCGGCGCAGGGACGGACTTGGCGGGGACAAGAGCCATGTCAAGTGGTCTCCGCCTTATCTGGAGTGCGAGAACGGGAGTTACAAGCCAGGATGGCTGGTTACTCTTTCGGCTGCCTTCTATGGGTTGCAGCCTAACCTGGTCCCAGAATTCAGGTAGGGAGAGAAAAGGGCAAAAGTCGTCCTTCCGGTTTTGTGGGTGGGTACCTACGTGGGGGAAGAACGCTTAACTCTCTGTGACACTTATGTTTCCTACCGTCAGAGCAAAGACATAGGCAGAATGATACCTTAAGCGAGTTCATGTATAGAGTGGTGAGAAGCCCCCACTTCTATCAGCTTGAGGCACCCAGTGAAAGGATCAGTTTCCCTGCAAGTAGTCAGGGAAAGGGAAGCACTTAGAGTTGAGACTCTTCGGCAGCTCTATGCCTCCCTCTAACTTTCAGGATTGCAAGGAGGAGAGTTCCCCATTAGAAGTGGTGCTGCAAAATTTGGGGAGTGTGGGGTGCACCCAGCAAGCAGAGTGGTGAGCATCAGATTAGGGAAGGGAGCTGGAGATAAGAGTTCTTGTGTCTGTCACTTGGAGTTAGCCTCTGTTTTCTGCGTGTATGGTTTGGGGGACCAGCCTGCTGTCAGTCAGTTACCAGAGCGTATAATTAAACCTGTGCTATCCCCTGGGTGGTTCTGGCGACTCAGCAGTGAGTCACTCTCAGCAGCAGAGCTGTTTCCAGGATCTACATTTGGCAATTTAGTCAGTGTACTCCTTCTACCCATCTTCCCCCTCTTCCCAATCGATCTTTCCTTCCTGGTGCCGTTTTTTTCTCTTGTTCCCTGTGTGTTAGGCATACCTAAGGTTTTCAGAGCCCTTTATACCCTCACACACTTTATAAATGAACCTAACTGCATTATGTTAGGGATGGAGGAGACAGCTCTAACTGAATTCACTCAGGAAGCTGAAACAGTTCTATATTTACTGTCTGAAAGTACAGTGAGCTGAGAATTTGCAAATTAGCAGGTTTTAACTTCAATCCTGAGAAGTGCTGACCTTTGTGGTGAGAAGTTGTAGAAGCAGCCTTTATGAATGCAAGGAAAGAGCAGAAACTCTGAAGAGGGGTTGGGAGAGAGCAGCAAATTCACTGGGATCCTCCTCAGTTCTCAAGGTAGGAGGCTCAGGAAAGAAGGTCTTGAGGGGCTGAGGTTGCTTCTCTACTTTTTAGAAACTTGGGAAGAAGGGAGAAAACTTTGTATGTTTTTTATTATTATTTTATTCTTCTGGCATAGCAAGAATGGGATGTTGACCTGCTGAAAGATATTAGGTCAAGTACTGGGTGGGTAAGTGAGGAAATAAGACTTCTCTTGGTATTGCCATTTACTGCTGAATGGCCCCAAACAAGTTGCTTAACCTCTCTGGCTTTCAGCTACTTTTCAATCAAGTGAAAGAGTTGAACTAGAATAGTCTCTATGGATTTATAGAGTCATAAAATTCTGTAACTTTTAGTGCTGGCAACATTTGAGAAAACATAAATGAGAAACAACTTCCTTTCTTTGACTCCATATGACGTGTGTGTGTGTGTGTGTGTGTGTGTGTGTGTGTGTTTATGAGTCTTTTTAAAGATCTATCTTAAAGCAGTAACTTACTTTCAGGATAATCTCATTTCCTCTTGATTCCTGTAGGATCCTATTAGTAAGAGCTGTTTGAATCTTTGCCATATTGTATGCTCAGAAGAAGAAAGATCAGCAGACGCAATTCACTGCCAGTAAACTGTTTATGGTCTTCAGCTGGGCCTTTTCAGGGAGTTTCARATCTATCAATCTACGCCTCTCTGTCTATCCATCTACCCTATTCTATTCTATCCTATTCTTTGCTAACATTCACTCTATATCAGGCTCTTTGCTGTTTTGCAAAGACTATCTTGATTGATTCTATGGTTTACGTTTTATTGTTTTATCTATCTTACAGAGAAGGAATCTGAAGGACAGAGATATTAAACTTCTTGCCTAAGACTGCACAGAAGTTAAATAGTAGAGCCAGGATTTAAATTTCACTTTGCACTTTTAATTATTATGGTAAACTCTATTTTATGAAGATGGTCTTGGATCATTGCATACAATGTAACTGCTGCAAAAAAATAAGTGTGCTTTCAAGGGTCAGATGTGGAGAATGGGGATGAAAACCACTCATTTTCAGAACTGTTTCTCTTAAGGATCAGAAAGCATTTGTTCCCTAAATGATCTTCAGCTAGGCCTTTTCAGGAAGTTTCAGATCTATCAATCTATGCCTCTCTGTCTATCCATGTACCCTATTCTATTCTAATATTCATTCTATATTAGTAGTTTTGCTGTGTTGCAGGGCTATCTTGATTGATTCTCATCATGATCCTACGACTTAGGTTTTATTGTTTTCCCTGTTTTACAGAAAAGGAATCTGAAGGGCAAAGGCTGGCCTCCTGCCAGCCAAGGTGAAAGGCTGACACAAAGGGTCTGAGGTTGTGAGAACTCACATGCCCCCTACACATTTTCTTTTTATTATATTGAGAAAACAGTTTTCTCTTTAAGTACTTCCTTAGCCATCAGTGTGTTCTTCAGCCAAGGCTCAAAGCCAGGCCATTTATGTCTAGCTGACTACAGAAGACGGCTAGTCTTAATAGCCTCACAAAGAGCGAAATAAGGGCTCCTGTGAGTTCTTCTGCCTTGTGTTCTGTACCTTTCACATACTGTATTAAAGTTATGCACAGATTTTACCTAGAAGAAACAACTTGTTTCTTCATGAAACAACTTTACCTGTTGTGTCATGATGAAACAACTAATTTCATTCTTAGATTTCTCAGGTAGTTACAACCTCAGAAAAGTTAAGCAACCTGCCCAAGATAATACAGCTAGTAAATCATGGTAAAATGAGAAAAAAATATCAAGTTTGTAGTAACAGCAGAAATGGAACATAGGCCTTTTGCCTCTGGTTTACCCTATACTTGGTAAATGTATACCTGAAGCATGTCTCTGTGGCTCTCTGGACCTCTGCACACAACCTATGTTGGGGACATGCTTCATTCTCTATCATCTTTTCGGACCCCACCCACCCCAAATAGCCCATAGAACATAGATGTCAATTTAAAAAAGAATTATATTATTTTACATATTTGAGTTAATATTTAAATGGAATTTTTCTCTCTTCACACTTACTAGAGGAAAAGCTTTTTTTTGTTTGTTTGTGATGTTATATCATTTAAGATGTGTATTCTAAAATTCTATAGTTCAACTAAGTAATAGGTAAAGTAAGTGCATAAACCTGAAGTGAATTTTTGGAAAAATATGATTAGGACCCCTAATCATAATTTTAAATAGTATTTTGAACGTGTTAAAGAGTTACTTGCAAATAGTCTTATCTATAATGAAAAAAATCCACTGAGATGATTTACTTATGGAAGAGAAAAGGAGAAAAAAACATTGTGTTAATATTTCCATTTAAAATCAGCTAATGGGGCTGGGATTGTGGCTCAGCGGTAGAGTGCTCGCCTAGCATGTGCGGGACCAGGGTTCGATCCTCAACACCACATAAATATAAAGGCATTGTGTTGTGTCCATCTACACCTAAAAAAATATTTAAACAAGATCAGCTAATATTTCCCCATATCTCATCTATAAGTTTTAAGCATTTCAATCATATTATATTTTATTTTAAAAATGTAAATCCAAAAACATGAAGTTCAAAAATAAGGAGAACATGGCCAACTACCTTTTAATATTACTGTTTATCACTATAAAAATCGCTTGGAATAAAATTTATTACCCTCTGTTTCAGAATGAAATTTAAAACCTTGTATAAGATACACATAGGAAGAGAAGTCTATTGTTCATCCCTTTTCTCCTTTCAAAAGTGTCATTCATTTCTCTTAATTAAATGTTTCTTGAGTCTTTTGTTATAGACTGATAATATAAAGATTTTATATCCCATTTTCTATCCTAGCAAAAAAGAGAAAGTAATAATTGAAGGTATACTCTAAAATATCTGCTTATGACATTAAATTTGTGATGTCCTTGTAGAGTTTTTCTTGAATTAGAGTTCTTTGGTTTGCATAGTAATTTTTCTTTTTGGAACTTAAAGTGCCATAAAGTTGGATTCCATTTTGCTGAATTCATAAATATCTTTCTTGTGGTGACTGAACTCTTAAGGTGCTTTGGATGGGTAGAATATACTTAAGTGTTAAATTTAAATGAAAGTTGAATTCTTTAGGGAATTATTCCTTTCTTGGTGAGCTGAAAAAATTGTGAATTTGTTTGACTCCATCTTTTCATTTTGTAGTTGAGAAAACTGAGATTCAAAGAGCTAAAGGAAGTTGTTAGAAATGGCACAGTTCTTTTTTCTCAAGTTAGAATTAATGGAAACCAATATTCATTAAGCACCTACTTTATGATTGATGTTTTACCTGTACCACTGCATTTCATTCTTAGATCTCTCAGGTAGTTACAACCCCAGAAAAGTTGAGCAGTCTGCCCAAGATAATACAGCTAGTAAATCATGGAGTCAAAATCAAATTTACATCTACCCAGCTATGAAAACTATAATTTTTCCATTACTACACGATGTTTTCTACCTTTTAATTCCTAATTTTGTTTTCACCTTTCTCTTTAAAAATATAAGATGGTATTGGCTGGAGTCAATTCTTATATTTGGCCTAAATAAGTGATATTTACTTATTCATTTTTGGTCAATGATACAATCAGATATATTATATAGTGAGAATAATATTAGAGTTAACCACTTTGCCTCATGTGCCCATTTTGTCTCTGGCTGGCTGTATTATCTGTTTGGAAATCAGTGTCTGCATAATTAAAATGTGGAAATAGGATTGATGATCTTTTCTTGTCTTTTAGCTTTATTCTGTAAGTTCTTAAGTGCCCTATCCAAATGATCAACAAGCAGTTTTGGAAAAAGGGCTGGTTTATGTAAATCCAGTATGTTGTTAAATGATATTGATGGAGGAAGAATGTCAGACCTGGTATTTGGCTTTATAATACTTTACAGAAAACCCAAAAAATATATACTGAGTTAAGTATGTAAATTAATGAAAATGAGAATTCCATTTCAAAATAAGAATAAATCTGATCTGAGTTTCTATATTTTGAAAGACTACCTGAAATTTCTTTAAACTCAATAGGAG